GGCAGAGGACTTGAATAGACATTTCTCCAAAGAACACATACAAATGGCCACTAGGTATGTGAAAAAGTGCTCAACATCACTACTCATCAGGTAAACACAAATTAGAACCTGACACCTGTTAGGACAGACCACTATCTACACAACAGAAGATAAAAAATGTTGGTAAGGATGCGAGGACATTGGAACCCTTGTATACTGTTGATGGGAGTGTGAAATGGTGCAGTCAATAGGAAAACAGTACAGAGCTTCCTCGAAAAAGTGAAAATAGAGCCACCATATGATCTGGGAGTCCCACTTCTGGGTATATATCTGAAAGAACTGAAATCGGGATCTCAAAGAGACACCTTCACGCCCGTGTTCACTGCAGCAGTATTCACGATAGCCAAGATACGGAACTAACCCAGTGTCCATCAACAGGTGAATGGATGACGAAAATGTTGTAAACAGCCTTTAAAAAAAAGAGAGAGAGAGAGAGAAGGCAGTCTTACCATGTGTGACAACATGGATGACCCAGGAGGACATTATGCTAAATGAAATAAGCCAGTCACCAAGGGGCACATATTGCATGAGTCCCCTTTCATGAGGTATCGAAAACCGTCAAACTCACAGCAGCAGAAAACAGACTGGTAGTTGCCAAGGGCTGGGGGGAGGAGTAAATAGGGAATTGTTGCTCAGGAGGCATAAAATTTCAGTTATGAAAGATGAGTAAGTTCTAGAGATCTATTAGACAACATAGTGCCTATAGTTATAATACGATGTTGTGCATTTAAAATTTTAAGAGGGTAGATCTCATGTTACAAGTGCGCACACACACACACACACACACACACACACACACAGACACACAAAGGGACGCAAGGAAACTCGTGGAGGTGATGGATATATCTACTACTTTGATTGTGGTGGTGAAATCACGGCTTATATGTATAGGTCCAAACTCATCAAATTGTACACATTAAACAAATGCAGTTTGGAGGGTATACAGTTATACCCCAATAAAGCTAAGTAAGAAACAAACACATTAAAAAAAAGTTTTTTGAGGGGAGGATAATAGCTCATTGGTAGAGTACATGCTTAGCATGTATGAGGTCTTGGGTTCAATCCCCAGTACCTCCACTAAAAAAAAAAAAAATTGGTTTGTCCTCAAAGAACTTGAGATACCTGATATATTTGTGTGCTAAAGAAAATTCCTCCTTTTGGGAGGGAGTGAGGGAAGTCGTGGCATGTTAACTTCCAGGATAAATACAAACAGAGAAAAGAAGTCATACTTCTCAGTGGAAAACTGAAATAGAGTAGAGGACGGGGAATGACATGGTCTAGAAATCTCATAAGCCAAAGAGCTGGTGTACACCCGGGCAACCTTTAAGTCCCACTGTATACAGAGATGAGTTCAAAGGCTCTTCAATAAGTTTCCCTGGCCTGGAAGGGAAATATAAAGTCGCTTTGAATTAAATCTTTGAATCTGAATCCTGGCGATGCTGTGAATCAACTAATTTCTTCCCCGCTCAGAGCCTCAGTTTCTTTGTCTGAAAATGGGGCTAATGCAACCCCTATGCATGTGAGAGCTGCATCTTACCCATGCTTCCCACAGCCTGGCCTCATAAGCCCCCAGGAAGCAGATACTAGACTATCTGCCTACTGGATGCACTTAATATATGCATCTCTCCTACCAGACTGAGAAACATGGATGACAGAGACCACAGAAGATCCCTTTGTATGTTGCCAAGCACAGAAATTGGCACACTGTTTGACTAGATCTAAAAAAAAAAAGTATGACACAAAGAAAATCTTAAATTTTGAGCCGCCTGGCACTTACCAGTTTGAAAATTGAAGCCAGCTGCCCTGCCCTCAAGGATGACAGACTTTCTCATTTTTAGTTTGGCTTCTAAGTATGACCATCACCTGATGGTAACTTATTTTTGCTTCCTGTGAGTCAGAAAGCAAAAGGCACTGTCCCCAAGCCACTGGGGTAACCTTTACACAAATGGCCCCATAATGAACGGTTTTGGTAAAGTAACAGCTGTCATATAACTTGTCATATTATGGGAAAACTCTCTAATTTGCTAAGTGCTTGGTATTAATAAAGTTCATGTCCTATCATTTCTAAAGTTTCTAAGAAGATGGCCAGTGAAAAGCCCTGCGTCATAGGCTGGGGGGGGGCAGTGTGGAGAGGACTCAAGCGAGTCAGTATCAGTGGAAAGGAGCACTGACTCAGTCATCTGCCTCAGTGAGGTTCATCCGGAAGATGGGCTGTGCTGAGGATGACATGGATGTAACAGATACAGAAGTTCACCGTGACTGCTAAGGCCCGTAAAAAGACTAAACACTGGTTTGTTTGTTCATTTATTTTCCCATTTGGAGTCTGTCTTATTCAAGAGCTGGAGCAGGGACAGGACCCCAAAGTTGCTGGCATCTTATGACACATCCACAAAATCAATTACATGTGAATTTCTGGCAGAAAATCTGGCTACACAAATGCTCAGATAACTCAGGATGATTTTTAAATAACACTCTACCCTCCTCTCCCAAACCAAAGGCACACTAGCCACCAAAAATAAAGCAAAGAGATGAGATTTCCATGTTGAATTTTATCTCAGGAAACTTTTGAAATAAGTATCACAGAACAAGCTTGAGACAGGCCATACTAAGTCTTGAACTCTGGAAAGATGCATCACTCTTCCTGCATGCAAAGTCCCAGCCTCAGAAAGAGGTCATGAGCAGCAAGTCCCTGGACATGACATTTGACAAGGCCAAGAGCAAGGAGAAAGTCTGAGGGGACGCTTTCCCAGGTGGAGAACTCAGTTCAGTCCAGCGAATATTCAATGGTCACCTGCTTTGTGCTTGAGACAAATAATAATAGATTCATTTTTTTTTTAAGTGTAGGTACTAGGGATTGAACCCAGGACCTCGTGCATGCTAAGCATGTGCTTTATCACTGAGCTATCACTTTACCCTGTGTGTTTGGTGCTTTTAAACACACATATCTATTGACCCTCACCCTGGTCCACCCAAGAAGGTGTTACTGCCTCATTTTTAAAAGATGAGGTAACTGAGGTTCAGAGAGGTCGCAAGATAAAGACAGTCAGGAACCAGTGGGGCTGCTCTTGGTATCAAACCAGGTCCTCTGACTGTACATTCTATTACTCCAAGATCAGGAGTGCGTGCTCTTGTTTCCAACGCTACTAATGTCCAGAAAGGATCTGAGGCATCTGAGGGAGGGGGTTTCTTGGGGGAGTGGGGTGAGGTAGAAGGACATCAGAGTTAAAGCCTCCTGCAGCCCAAGCTGACCCTGTCCCAGGTCAGACAGGGACACAAAGGGCAGGCAGGTCAGTAAGGACTCAATAAATGGCATACTGACAGCCGGGGTTGGCGGGGCTTGCACTGAGCACCTAGTGTGTGTTGTCAGAAAAGAGACCCCGGGCCTTCTGAGTGCCAGGAGGTAGGGGAAAGGGCCTTGCACTGCACCTACCATGTGCTACAGGTACAGGTGTCCTGGGACCGGCTGGCTGGGGGCCAGGCTGGGTGGGATGAAGGGGTGAGGCTTTCCTGAGTCCTGACTGTGTGCCAGGAACTGGGCATTTCTTGTCTTGCAACAACTCTGTGAGTGGGCATGATTATTCCTCTTTTGCAATGAGGATATTAGTGCAAAGAGGGGACGGCTGAGTCCACTGTTACAGGTGGAGTTGGAGGCACAGTAGAGCTGGATCCCAGCCTGGCGAATCAGTTCCCTCTCCATTGCAGAAAGGAGGCAGAAACCGTCTCTTTTTGTCCTCCTCTCAAACCCGTAATAGAAGAGCAGAGACTTCAGTGAGACTCCCACCCAAAGCCTAGCGCCAGATTAATAACAACAACAACAACAATAATAATACCCGCCATTTACTGAGTACTTACTATATACCAGGCATATGGCATGCTTTCAACTATCTCATTAACTTTGGGATATTATCCACATTAGCCAAAAGGAGGCACAAGTCAAGAGCTCCCCGGAGCAGGAAGCCAGTAAGTGACAGAAGCAGGCTGAGAATCCACTTCGACTTGATACTCAATTTCGTAACACCGGGTCAGCCTCAGCGGGGAGGAAGAGGGGCGCGCCTGGCACGCAGAAGCGCGGCGGCGGAGAGCGGCAGCCCGGAGCGGTCCTGAGCCCGGCCGTCCGGCGGGGGGCACTGCAGACCGCGCGCCGCGCTGCGCCCGCCTCCGGCTCCGGGCGCCCAGGGGCCGCTGCGCCCGCCTGCGCC